CTGCTGTTATTTTATGATCTACCTCAGACAGGTGACAATTTGAAGTACACACATCAACAACATGATTTTGTTGATCATTCCTTAAGACATGGAAATAATTAGCAGTTGTCCAATTTCAGCTTCCACAAGTTTCAATTTGAAAAGGTGAGAATTACCAGAAACATCCTCTGCCTACAACTTCTCTCTTCCCTCATCTCCGATGCTATTCAAAGCAACAAATTTTAAAAAGATAGTCTCACAACCAGCACAAGAAGGACTAGGTATTAAAGACCATCCAAAAGTCATGTTTTCTCCAAGGCAGGGGAAGCAACAGCTGTTTTCTGGAAACATGAGTTTTAGGACCAGCCACCTAGGGACAAAACCTGTGCTACACATAGTCATCTTTGAAATTATTGTGACCTACAAAAACTAAGCAGACATGCACACTCACACCTCTTCCATTTATCTTATTAAAGATCTTAAACCTACTCAGAAAAGCCCCTAAATATTCTGAAATCTTTAGTAATTTAGAGCTATAAGAGGAGTTTTACCTAAGTAGAAATGACCTTTGGTGCTACTTATCTGTTAGCAAAATGAGGATGGAAGAAGATAGAGCAAGAAAGTAACAAAATGTCTTTAAAAAAAAAAATAATATAATAAAAAATTAAGCCAAGCAAGAATATTTTTGGAGAAAAGTGGTAATTTTCAGTTCATCTCCACACCCTGATGATTTCTCTCTTTTTTGTCCTTAAATTTTTAACAAGTCTAAGTATGCACAAGGCTACTGTGCTCTGATGGAATAAATTACCCAACAGATGATTTTTTTGTTGCAATCAAAAGTACAGTTGAAACAGTATTTCAGTTGTACTGTCTCCATAGTTCCTTGTTTATTTCTGTCAAGACAAATACTTTGCCTACTAAAGGAAAAATCATGATATGAAGAACTGTTGTCAGGGAACTAAAATAACTTCTTTTCAGATCGTATGCATTAAAAAGCATAGCTGAAAGGTTGGAGGAAAGAATTTAACAATCAAAAGCAGAGGAGGAACCCAGATAAACCCAATTTGTCCTCCTAAAAAAATACATCCCTAAGGTAAAATCTTTCATAAACCTAGAGAGGTGTCAGATTTGCATCATAAAAAAATTACTCAAATGAAAGACTGTAACTCCACCCTCTAAACATCTCATAGTTACACTTCAATACTGTTCCTTATTGCCAACAAATACAAACATTTCTAGCAGGACAGAAGATGTACACAACTGGCCTTGAAACATAATACCCATTTCTAAAAGACCATGAGTGAGAACAATTTTTTCAGGAAGAGTGTACTTAAGAGGAAAGGAAATACAGATTCCCAGGTGAAGAGAGAAAAAAAGCCAGCGGGTTCCCAGAAAGACAAGATGTTCTTCTGGGGAAGAAAGGGAAATCTGTGTTGATTCTGGGGAGGAAATATAGGAGAGACAGGAGAGGTAACTAAAACAACACAAAAGCACACTTAGGCAGAGAGGATGGAAACTACTGCTGGTAATAACAGCAAAACAAGGGTTAAAGGTATGAAGTCCAACAACCAACTTACAAAAACTTTGCCAGCACCAGAGTTTATACATGATATCAACTAATGAAAACCGTTCCTTTCTGAACTCTGTACCCTATTATTTAAGTCAATAAAGATTTTCCTGTGCCTTTCAGACTCAGCCTGTTCAGTTTTACTAAGTTCTGGTTTTCCTCTTTTGTTACTTTAGAATGCTAACAGTGGTGTGTCTGCTGGGATCGGCAGTCTTGCTGCTTATAAAAAGACAGAACACTTGTACTTAATAGCAATTACTATTTTGTAGCTGTGTTTTTTAAGGCGTGTATGTTGTGTGTTCTAGTATTTAGAAGAATGAGTCAGAACCCTATTCTAATTTATGGTTTTAACTTATTCCTTTACTTCTAATACAATAGAGAAAGCTGGACAACTGACAGCACTGAGATTTTAGGCCTTTTTTACCACTTCTAAAACTAGAATCACATGCTCATCTAAAATGCTTTAGAAATATCCTTTTTAAAACCAAGAGACTGGTTAATAGGATGCATCTGAACTTGAACATAATTCAAAAACAGATATGCAAAGCTTATATATTCTTATATAAAGCTTAAATATTCTTCCAAGAGCAAATTTTATAAAGAGTCATCAAATTTTACTTTAGAAAATTCTGTCAATATCTTTAAAATTATAACCAAGAGAACAGAGCAAACAAAAAGCATGGTCCTGAATTCACCCGCACCCTATAGTCTCTTGGCCTCAGTTCAAGTAAGAAAAGCAGCCCTAGAAACCAGATTTCCTTCAGAAGGCTACCTATTCCAAAGTGCAGTACAAACTTGTACTTCCATTCAGCTAGAAAAGGGAAATTTCCATATAAAAAGATGAAACATAAAAGGAGAAAGGTAAGACTAAACAGAATATTAAATTAATGCAATAAAGTACAGAAAGACAAATTAATCACCCTAACAAGTGAGATCATTTTTGCAATGACATGGTTGCTGTGAAAGAGAAATCTAGTTGAGCTATATAAAAACAAGCTACACAAAGAAAACCAAAAATCCATTTGACATCTCTAACCGTGCCAAGGCATCAATCCAAGTACAAGTAGCAACTACTCAGCAATTCAGAGCCAGTTTATACAGACATTTTATGGTGGGTACACACAGAAGAACAAAACTCACCCTTCGTCATGAGAAATTAAACTATTTATATTGTGTAAAATGTAGGAATCAGCAGTTGAACACTGAAGAAAACGTAAGGATCTTCACAAGGCACTGGAAATTCTACTAGAATCACAGAATCTCAGGGGTTGGAAGGGACCTGGAAAGATCATCTAGTCCAAACCCCCTGCCAGAGCAGGATCACCCAGAGCACATCACACAGGAACGTGTCCAGACGGGTTTGAATGTCTCCAGTGGAGACTCCACAGCCTCTCTGGGCAGCCTGTTCCAGGGCTCTGTCACTCTCACAGTAAAGTTCTTCCTGATACTCACTTGGAACCTCCTATGCTCCAGTTTGCATCCATTGCCCCTTGTCCTATCACTAGACACCGCTGTAAAAAGCCTGGCTAAACATCTCAACATCTCAATAGGTTACATACAGCATCTGCCATTTAGAAGGTACTCCATGTTTGCACCTGTGTAAGTTACTTCTGATCAGTATTTCTTCCTGATATTTTCAACCTACTCACATCAAGCAACTGCTTCAAATGCATAAGTCACACTTTTAACAGCCCGCTAAATGCCACCCTCAAACTACCCTGCAGCAGGACAGCCATCTCCTGCCAACACAGCTGGTGATGGTGAGGTGGCACAAAGCATCACAGCTCTTGGCACAGAAGCCAACGCCAAACAAGGAAGAGCATTTATATACATTACAGGTATTAAAAGCCAGATAAACACAAGCCATGGGAGCTTTCAACACTGCACAGTCTCACTGAATTACCTGTAGGCCAATGTGCACAACAAGCAAAATTCACGTTACAAGCTCTTCATTAAGCCATCTGGCCCTTAGGCTCTTTTAGTCTACTGAAAGAATTATTTTTAAATCTTAATTCTGTTATCGTTTTGTAAACTCTTTTTGTATCTGTCAAATACACTCACTTTAAAGTGTTAACATTATTCTTATTATACCAGTGTTGTGATGGTCATATATACACTTCAATAAACAGAAGAAAAAGAACCCCATACTTTCTAGCATAGAACAGTCTCAAGAAAAACAAGGTTTCCATTTTACAGACGGGATACTAAGACCCACAGAGGCAGCATGATACATAAAATATCACATAAAGACCTGTGAAAGGGTCAGGAAGCAGGTTCAGATCTTTCAAGACCCAGGTCAGCACCATTAGCCACGACAACAGTTCTGAAGACAATGCAAGGTGGATTTAAGTTAAACCAGTGTGATTACATCTATATTCCTGTATGTGGCTTAACAAGAGAAGTACCTTCACAACCTGGACATGTAAAAATAGAAAAAGGTCTCAAACCTTTTCTGCTGGAGAACTATAAAAGCATGCCTTGGGAAAAACTCACACTCTCACACTACAGTTTTTTCATAACAACTACGAACTCAATCAAAAATATTCTTAATGAAGTCTAGAGTAGTAGGAACGTGTTCAGATTAAAATCTCTGTAAGCATGCAAATTATTTCACGCTCCTTGTCATTAAATACATTTAACAGATCAGCTTTCAGTTGAGCAGTCAACAGGTAACTGAAGAGATAACCATGCAACATAACTATTCCCCTTGCACCTCCCTGTCTTTCCCCACACTCCCTCAAAGGAAAGAAATCTTTTCCTGTTCTGATCTATTTTTACAGTCTAGTGCATTGGTATTTTGGATTATTTCCAAGGGTATTCTTTACTGGGGCATCACAGCTAAATGCCAGATTTCAAAATTATTTTAGCATATTCTCACAGGCTGCTTCACAGTAGCCTGAATTAATAAAGGATCTTAGCAATTACAGCCTTTTCAAATGCAAAAACGTCAGAAGCTAGTAAAGAAGCTTTAAAAAAAACCCAAACAAAACAAACAAACATCTGTAGCATAAAATTCAGATCCTGTTTCTTGTTCCCTCAAAGGTTACACCGAGTTGGTACTCGAGGGAAATTTCTGAAAACAGCACGCCCAGTCAGTCTGAGTCAGTCCTGGTCAGTAGCTTATCATTCCAGCAGTCCACCAAGAACCAGCTTTTAAACCTGAGAGGCCGACAGGCACCTCCTGCCTCCACATCCCAACCTGGGTACCTCCGGCTCCACTCGGGGAGCCAGGAGAGGAAGGTCTGGTCCCTCCTTCGCAGGGATGCCCGCCCCAGCAAGGCAGCGACCCCCGGCCTGGCGCTCGCCCTCGCCCGGCCCCCCCGACCACGTCGGGACCCCCCGAACAAAGCCCGGCGAAGCCTCCGCAAGGCTGAGGCGGGGCAGCCGAGGCGTTATTTGGGACGCAGGCTTTTTTTGTTTGTTTGTTTGTTTGTTTGTTTGTTTGTTGTTTTACCTTTCTCCCTGCTTGGCGTTAGAGGGCGGAGGGTGCAGCACGGTCTGGTTCCCTTCCATCTCCACGATGCACTTGGTATTCAGGTCCAGCTCTGCAAAGGAGACACGGCGGGGGCTGTACCCGGGGGACAGGGCACAGCCCTTTCCCCCCCCACACACAACCTCCCTGCCCCCCTCCTCCCCGCACGGGGGGTCGGATCTCGGAGGAAAGGGCTGTCTGTGA